AAGTGAAGGGAAATCTCCCCAATGGGACACAGAAGGCCAGAAACCTCTGACGGATTATAATCCTCCTTACTTTATCCAAAGTGAAAAAAAGTCTTCAGTAATACTTTTAAAATATACCAGTATGAAGTAGAGGGGTCATCTAGAGTTCAACCTTTAAAAATACATATTCTCCTTTAGGAGATATTCTTCACGTCTGTAGAAATGACAGTGAAACTATTGCATAATAATAATAATAATAATGCTAAGTATTATCAATATTATATAACACATAGGTTAATATGAAAATTCCACTACAAGAGCAAATCAGATCAGCAATGTTTTAGTTCTGTAAATACTGTATATAAACAGTAAAAAAAAAAAGTAAGGACAGAACAAGCAGACACCAATACACATTACATTACAAATTACACAGATGAGGCAAACGTGTTTAAATAAACATTTTTCTTTAGAAATGTTAATACCAATGTAAGAGAGGCACCCTTGTGGTTGTCATAAAATGGAGTCCAAAACAGACTGGAAAAGCTAAATATAAACAAGTCACCAGGTCTTATGACTTAACCACTTGCCCTCCAGAGGATATACCCCCCTTCCTGACCTTTTTGTTACTTGGCGCTGCACTAATTCAACTGATAATTGCGCGGCCATGCAATGCTGCACCCAAACGAAATTTACATCCTTTTTTTCACACAAATGGAGCTTTCTTTCGGTGGTATTTGATCACCTGTGCGCTTTTTATTTTTCACGTTATAAACAAAAAAAGACTAAAAATTTTGAAGAAAAACTATATTTTTTACTTTCAGCTATAGAAAATATATAGTAAACTCAAAAGTTAGTTATAAATTAAGGCCAAAATATATTCTGCTACATGTTTGTTAAAAAAATAATTATAACAATAAGTGTATATTGATTGCTTTGTGTGAAAGTTATAGCATCTACAAACTATGCTCTGACTGCCCATCACATTTCTTGAGGTGCTAAAATACCAGGATAGTACAAACATCCTCAAATGACCCCTTTTCAGAAAGTAGACACCCTAAGCTATCTGCTCAGAGGCATATTGAGTTCATGGAAGATTTATTTTTTGCTACAAGTTTCTGGAAAATAACAAAATTGTTTTTTTTATACAAGGTTGTTATTTAAATGATTTATTTCTCGCACAAGCCACGGGTATATGTGAAATTACACCCCAAAATACATTCTGCTACTTGTACCGAGTATGGGGACACCACGTGTGTGAGACTTTTTGGGAGCCTAGCCACATACAGGAGCCTGAAATCCAATGACCACTTTGAAAGCCTGAAGGTGCGTAACTTCCTCATTTCACTTCCTCACTACCTATCACAGTTTCGAAGGCCCTGACATGCCAGGATAGCACCCCCCCCCCCAAATGACCCCTTTCTGGAAAGTAGATACCCCAAGGAATTTTAAGAGGCATGATGAGTATTTTGCAGCTCTCATTTTTTCTCACAAGGCTTTGAAATAAGAGAAAAAAAAATGTATGTTTTTGTTTTTTTTACGTCATTTTCCAAAAACTTTTGGCAACAAATGAGATTTGCAAAATACTTACCATGCTTCTTATCAAATTCCTTGGGGTGTCTACTTTCCAAAAAGGTCATGGGGGGGGGGGGGGGGGTTGGGTGCTATCCTGGCATTTCAGGGCCTCCAAACTGTGATAGGGAGTCTGGAAGTGTAATGAGGAAATAAAGCCCTTTAAAAGCCAGGTGGTGTTTATTGGATTTTGGGGTCCTGTACTTGGCTAGACTGCCAAAACGTCTCTCACATGTGGTACCCCATATTCCACATATATCCATGGCATGTGTGAGCAGTAAATCATTTAAGGGACAATTTTGTGTAAAAAAAAAGAAAAAACATTTTTTTTTGTCATTTTCCAAAAACTTGTGGTAAAAAAATAAATTCTTCTATTGATTCAACATGCTTCTCAGCAAATAGTTTGGGGTGTCTACTTTCCAAAAAGGGGTTGTTTTGGGGGGTGGGGGCGTTTTATGCCCAGCATTAGAAGTTTATGCCACACATCGTTCACTCTTCTAACCACCTGAAGATCAAGCCTTTTCTGACACACTTTGTTCACATGAAAAAAATAATTTTTTTGCTAGGAAATTAATATAAACCCCCAAACATTATAAATATTTTTTAAAGCAGACGCCCTAGTGAATAAAATGGTGGGTACTACAATTTTCTACGGCACATAGTACTTGCGCAGCGATTTTTCAAAAGCAAATTTAAAAAAACAAACAAACACTTTTTTTTACTTTTAATGCACAAAAACACAAAAAATATATTGGCCAATTATTTGGTAAGATATAAAAGATAATGGTATGCCGAGTAAATAGATACCAAACATGACATGCTTTAAAACTGTGCATGCCCCGTGCAATGGCGACAAACTGCATACATTTTTAATATCCATAGGCAACGCTTTAAAAGCTACCATTTTAGATGTACAGAGGAGGTATAGTGTTAGTATTACTGCCCTTGATCTGACGTTCACGGCTCACATGCATGGTTCAACCGCTGATTACATACCGGCACAGGGTCAAAGCTTGTGCACACAGGTGTGAGCGCATGGGAAGGGCGAGTTTTTTTTTTTTTTAAATTTTTTTTTTAAGTTATTTTGATTTTTTTAATTATTTTTAAACTGTACCTCTCTCTTTTTTTTTTTTTTTTTTTTAATCACTTTTAATGCTATCACAGGGAATGCAAATATCCCCTATAACTTCAATGGGCATTGTCATATATTCTTTTTTGAGAAATCTGGGGTCTATCAGACTCTGGATATCTCCTCTGCCCTTACATTATCTGATCAAACCAAAATCGGTGTGATCAGATGCTTTCCCAATTTACAAATGGCGCTGTTTATATCCTGCGAAACTGAAGTGATGAAATTCTCGTAGTTTCCGAATTCTTAGACTATAGAGATGATTGGCACAACTCTGGTCTCCAATCAGCTCTATGGTCAGCTGGCAGAAACACCGGCTGTAATCTCAGCTTCCTCCGATGGCACGAGACTGCCTGTCAGGAATGGACTAGCCAGCAATGGGTGGGACTCACCTGCCTTTTGATCTGCACTACCAGGGCTGGCCAGCGGGTGCTCCCAGCAATCAGAGACTCAACTTTGCAGCCAGCTAACACCTGGAACTGATTATGCTGGGGTATTTAAGGGATGGCCAGACTTGCAGACTCTGCCTTGGTGTTGTGTTCTCTTGGGCCCTGTATCCTGTTCCTGCCTGATTCTCTGCTGACCCTGCTCTGATCCCTGGCTTGTCTGACCATCCCTCTGCCTGACCGTCTGTACTACGCTGCTTGCTACCTGTTCTGATCCCTGGCTTGTGACCCTGACCATCCCTCTGCCTGACCCTCTGTACTACGCTGCTTGCTACCTGTTCTGATCCCTGACTTGTGACCCTGACCATCCCTCTGCCTGACCCTCTGTACTACGCTGCTTGCTACCTGTTCTGATCCCTGGCTTGTGACCCTGACCATCCCTCTGCCTTACCCTCTGTACTACGCTGCTTGCTACCTGCTGAACCTGGCCTTGACCCCGACCAATCTTCGCTTGCTCCCCCTGTACCTACCTGCCCTATTGATATTGACCCGGCCTGCCTGACGACGCTTGCTTGTATGTACTGTTATCTGTGGGTGGTTAGTTTGGTTTGGTTTGGTTGCACTGTATTATGTTTTAGTATTGCACTGCGTTTATGTTTGTATTGTTAGTGTTAATAAATTATATTGTTTATAACATATCTGAGGTCTGCGTTTCCCTGCGTCAGCCACACACCTCTGGTCACACACCTGGGAGCCCTGACATTACACCAAGGCCAATCCTGACCAGAAGTGGCTGCACAGGGAAGCCATCTTGGCTTGTTGATGGGAAGGATGGATCTGGATGAGGTTGTGTATTTATATCTGCTAGTGTTTGATGACAGGGAGTATGCTTATCAAACTCTGAAGGAGTATCCCAGGGATCAACTACTAGAATGTATACGGCTCGCTCATGTTCTAGTAGATCAGGGCACAGAGTTCTCTGAGGTGCAGCCTTTGATTGAGGTTTGTGCTGAGTTGGTTTCATCTGGTTCCCCCGAATGCAGGGATGAATTTTTGCCACCATTTAGTGCAGACCAGGTAGAGTCCCTGGTGTGGTTATTAGAGGATGATGTGGGTTACTTTCTGGAGCGTTATTCCACATGTTCACCACAGACACTAAGAGATTGTATAAACGCAGTGCAGTCATTGACCAGACAGGCTTTGTGTAAGCTCAGCTTTGTTCAACCCATACTGCAGACATGGACAGACTTGTTGCACCCAGCCTCAGTCAGCTTACAAAAACCCAGTCCTGCTTCTAACTCTACTCCTGTATTCCCACCAGCTCCTCCAGTTACAGCCCAGTATACTTGGCTATCTACCGCATGTCAGTACCCTGTTCCCACTCGCTGCACCTATCCTGCCTTTAACCCTGTAAAAAAGCCCTCTGTAGCAACTGCTCCCTCTCCTGTTCCATCCTCCAGTTCTTCTCTGTCTCCAGCTGCTCCATTCGTTTGCAGACCTGCGTTTACTTGCAGTGCTCCAGTAGTTAAAACCAGAAAAAAAGCGAAAAAAAATTCTTTCCAACCAATACCATCCTGCCAGTATCCAAACCGGTGAACCTGCCTTCCGTGACTCAGCCTGAGGTCTCTACTCAGCCTGAAGCCTCTACTCAGCCTGAAGCCTCTACTCAGCCGGATGCCTCTCTTCAGCCTGATGCCTCTCTCAGCCTGATGCCTCTCTTCAGCCTGATGCCTCTCTTCAGCCTGATGCCTCTCTTCAGCCTGATGCCTCTCTTCAGCCTGATGCCTCTCTTCAGCCTGATGCCTCTCTTCAGCCTGAAGCCTCTACTCAGCCTGAAGCCACTACCAGCCTGAAGCCTCTACTCAGCCTGATGCCTGCATTCAGCCTGATGCCGCTACTCAGCATGATGAACTGATCCAGCCCGACGATCCTATTAGGCCAGTTGACTCGATGCCCGCTGTTGATCCAGATGATCCGGTACCTGATCCAGTGCCCGCTGTCGTGCCAATTGACTCAGAGCCCGCTGTCATACCTGGTGACCCGGTGCCCCACTGCCTTGCCAGATGACGCGGTGCCCGCTGGCAAGCCAAATGACCTGATGCCTGGTGACCCAGTGCCCGCTGTCATACCTGGTGACCCGATGCCCGCTGTCGAGCCAGACAATCCGATACCTGATGACCCGGTGCCCACTGTCATGCCAGACGAATCGGTGCCCGCTGTTCCGCCAGTCGACTCGGTGCCCGCTGTTCCGCCAGTCGACTCGGTGCCCCCCGCTGTTCCGCCAGTCGACTCGGTGCCCGCAGTCTTGCCAGAACGACTCGGTGCCCGCAGTCTTGCCAGACGACTCGGTGCCCGCAGTCTTGCCAGACGACTCGGTGCCCGCAGTCTTGCCAGAACGACTCGGTGCCCGCAGTCTTGCCAGACGACTCGGTGCCCACTGTCGTGCCTGGGGGCCCGAGACCTGTTGCTCCGCCTGAGGGCCCGAGACCTGTTGCTCCATCTGGGGGTCCGGCGCCCGCCGCTCCGCCTGGGGGCCCGAGACCTGTCGCTCCGCCTGGGGGCCCGAGACCTGTCGCTCCGCCTGGGGTCCGGCGCCCCGCCGCTCCCGTCTGAGGGCCCGAGACCTGTCGCTCCACCTGGGGGTCCGGCACCACCCCGCTCCGCCTGGGGTCCGGCGCCCGCCGCTCCGCCTGGGGGCCCGAGACCTGTCGCTCCCGCCTAGGGGCCCGAGACCTGTCGCTCCGCCTGGGGGCCCGGCGCCCCGCCGCTCCGCCTGGGGGCCCGAGACTGTCGCTGCGCTCCGCCTGGGGGCCCGGCGCCCGCCGCTCCGCCTGAGGGCCAGAGACTGTCGCCCCGCCTGGGGGCCCGATGCCTGTCGCCCCGCCTGGGGGCCCGATGCCTGTCGCCCCACCTGGGGGCCCGATGCCGGTCGCCCCTCCCGTGGCCCGGTGCCTGTCGCCCCTCCCGGGGGCCCGGTGCCTGTCCCCCCGCCCGGGGGCCCGGTGCCTGTCGCCCCGCCCGGGGGCCCGGTGCCTGTCGCCCCGCCCCGGGGGCCCGGTGCCTGTCGCCCCGCGCCGGGGGCCCGGTGCCTGCCGCTCCGCCCGGGGGTCCGTTGCCGCCGCTCCGCCCGGGGGCCCGGTGCCTGCCCTGCCGCCCCGCCCGGGGCCCGGTGCCTGCTGCTCCGCCCTGGTGGCTTGCTGCCTGCTGCTTGCCTGGTAATCCGATGTGCCTCTGCCCGGAGTCCTGCCCGATGTGCCTCCTGCCCGGAATCCTGCCCGATGTGCCTCTGCCCGGAGTCTGGCCCGATGTGCCTCTGCCCGGAGTCCGGCCCGATGTGCCTCTGCCCGGAGTCCGGCCCGATGTGCCTCTGCCCGGAGTCCGGCCCGATGTGCCTCTGCCCGGAGTCCGGCCCGATGTGCCTCTGCCCGGAGTCGGCCCGATGTGCCTCTGCCCGAGTCCGGCCCGATGTGCTCTGCCCGGAGTCCGGCCCGATGTGCCTCTGCCCGGAGTCCGGCCCGATGTGCCTCTGCCCGGAGTCCGGCCCGATGTGCTCTGCACGGAGTCCGGCCCGATGTGCCTCTGCCCGGAGTCCGGCCCGATGTCGATGCCTCTGCCCGGTGTGCCTTTGCCCAATGTGCCTCTGCCCGGTGTGCCCCTGCCTGCCCGGTGTGCCTCTGCCCGGAGTCCTGCCCGATGTGCCTCTGCCCGGAGTCCGGCCCGATGTGCCTCTGCCCGGAGTCCGGCCCGATGTGCCTCTGCCCGGAGTCCGGCCCGATGTGCCTCTGCCCGGAGTCCGGCCCGATGTGCCTCTGCCCGGAGTCCTGGCCCGATGTGCCTCTTGCCCGAGTCCCGGCCCGATGTGCTCTGCCCGGAGTCCGGCCCGATGTGCCTCTGCCCGGAGTCCGGCCCGATGTGCCTCTGCCCGGGAGTCCTGCCCGATGTGCCTCTGCCCGGAAGTCCTGCCCGATGTGCCTCTGCCCGGTGTGCCTTTGCCCAATGTGCCTCTGCCCGGTGTGCCCCTGCCGGTGTGCCGCTGCCCGGAGTCCTGCCCGGTGTGCCAGTCTTTGATATCCCGCCAGTTACCAGACCCGGGCGGTGGAACATTTTGCCCAGCTAGGACTGTTTGGAGCGTCCTGAGGCGCTCCTTGAGGGGGGGGGTACTGTCAGGAATGGACTAGCCAGCAATGGTGGGACTCACCTGCCTTTTGATCTGCACTACCAGGGCTGGCCAGCGGGTGCTCCCAGCAATCAGAGACTCAACTTTGCAGCCAGCTAACACCTGGAACTGATTATGCTGGGGTATTTAAGGGATGGCCAGACTTGCAGACTCTGCCTTGGTGTTGTGTTCTCTTGGGCCCTGTATCCTGTTCCTGCCTGATTCTCTGCTGACCCTGCTCTGATCCCCTGGCTTGTCTGACCATCCCTCTGCCTGACCCTCTGTACTACGCTGCTTGCTACCTGTTCTGATCCCTGGCTTGTGACCCTGACCATCCCTCTGCCTGACCCTCTGTACTACGCTGCTTGCTACCTGTTCTGATCCCTGGCTTTGTGACCCTGACCATCCCTCTGCCTGACCCTCTGTACTACGCTGCTTGCTACCTGTTCTGATCCCTGGCTTGTGACCCTGACCATCCCTCTCTGCCTTACCCTCTGTACTACGCTGCTTGCTACCTGCTGAACCTGGCCTGTGACCCGACCAATCTCCGCTTGCTCCCCCTGTACCTACCTGCCCTATTGATATTGACCCGGCCTGCCTGACGACGCTTGCTTGTATGTACTGTTTATCTGTGGGTGGTTGGTTTGGTTTGGTTTGGTTGCACTGTATTATGTTTTAGTATTGCACTGCGTTTATGTTTGTATTGTTAGTGTTAATAAATTATATTGTTTATAACATATCTGAGGTCTGCGTTTCCCTGCGTCAGCCACACACCTCTGGTCACACCTGGGAGCCCTGACACTGCCCGAGAAGGCGGGAGGGGGGCATGTTATTCTCCCGCTGCTTTGTAAAAGCAATCCTGCAGCTAATTAGCCACTAGGATTGCTTTTACATAAAAGCCGATCGCCGGCTGAAAAAAATTACACCAGGATGATACCTGCAGCTGTAGGCATCATGGTGGTATAACCAAAGTCCAGTGATGTACCAGTACATCGCTGATCCTTGTTGGTTATATATGTTATATTCTTTTTTTTTTTTTGTATGCAGCCTGTGGGCTGAATGAAAAAAAGAGAAGAAATCTCTGCAAGAAAAAGTGTGTGGTATGCCACCATTAGAATATACTGCCCTGCATCCACCCACTTCTAATGGTGGGCACACATTAGGTCACACTTTGCCACAAGTGCCAGTTCCAAGATTGAACAAATGTCTAAATAGTGGCACGCTTGAATAAAAATTGTCCACGTATAAGTGGTACCCCATATGGGAAAAAGGATGACACCAAGTCCCAAACTATCTTGCCACTGCACCCCATGCAGTCTGGGAGGCTCCACGTGACTCGTAAAAGGAAACTTATAAGTATAGCCTGTTGTCCTTTCACAGGTCTTCTACATCTTGACCCCACATCTGGCACGCTTGCTGGGGAGAAATTGTTTGAATGCAAGGCGGCCAGAAAAATTATTCAGGGACTCATCAACGCAAATGTTTTGCTGGGAGTATAGACATCTGCAAATTTTTGGTTAAGGTGATTTATAAGGGGCTGAATTTTGTGGAGCCGGTCAAATTCAGGGTCACCTCAAGCACGACAAAGTGTATTGTTATTGAAATACATAAAACACATTATACTCTCATATCTATGCCTGGCCATGGCAGCAGAGAACACGGGCATATGATGAATCGGGTCTGCGGACCAATACAACCGCAATTAATTTTTTTAGTAATGCCCATGTTGAGGGTTAGGCCCAAAAAAAATGTAAATTGAAAACCGATTAATGAGTTTCCATGCGACTGGTCTGGCAAGGTTTGAATTTGGGTTGGCGGCGATAAATTGTTGTGCATATAAATTGCTTTGATCCACAATCAACGCATACAGATATTCCGTGAAAAACAGCTCCAAAAATCAAGGAGGTATGTGAAAGACCAAGATGTACTAGACTGCTGGTACTCGCCAGTTCACCAAAAGGTAGAGCGGCACTAGTACTGGCACTCTGCTGCATATAAGAGTCATCAAAATTTACCGGCAAGTGCTAACAGAGATCAGGCCTGATTCTGCGAACACTGCGGTTTTGTGTGCAATGTATCAAGTGACAGTGACCTACTGACACTGCACTTGCTGGGGGAGAAGGTGTGGGGGGGGGGTAAGCATAGGGGCTAATGCAGGAGCTGGCAGGTGCCGGGGCTGATCCCACTAACGTGTTCAAAGATATTGATCCGTTCAGACACTATACTAGCAATGGAGATTTATTGTGCATGAGCGTGTTCCTGGCAATCAAGGGGTTAAATGTGATGACTGGTGTACTGACGGGCAATCTGACGCTATCTGGGAGGGGCGTGAACACCTTGGGAGCGCGAATCACATATATGTGATTTTGTGTACCCATTCCGCCCTGTAGCAGTATTTCTGCTATAGGGAAGTCAGGAAGCGGTTACAGAAGCGTTTTGTGTTACGTCGCTGCATTACTTTAACTGACAATTGCGCGTATGTATGTCCTTTTTTTACCACAAATCGAGCTTTCTTTCGTGTGGTATTTGATCGCCTGTGTTTTTTATTTTTTTGCGCTGCGCTATAAAAAAAAAGGCTGACAATTTTGAAAAAAAAAAAAATAATATTTTGGACTTTGCTATAAAACATGTCCAGTAAAAAAAATAAAAAATCAAATTTCGTCATAAATTTCGGCCAAAATGTATTCTGCAACGTCTTTGCTGAAAAAAAATCCCAATACGTATAAGCTAATTGGTTTACGTGAAAGTTATAGTGTTTACAAATGGCAGTATAGATACTGGGTTTTTAATTTTTTTTATACTATAATATAAGTCAATAGCCTGTAATCCGCACTTGAATCGGACCACACACTGCTCAGAAATCGGACATGACTATTTTTAAAACTGCACTGAATCCACACTGCCAGTGCACCAGGCATATGTGAACAGGTACCATAAGAAGCAATGTTTTTTTACGTCATGCAGATTGGGTGCGGTTCAAACCGCATCCAAACCGTATATATGCGAATGGGCAATAAAAGAAAATCATTTGATCTAATTTTACTTGATGTTGCTCAGCAAGTCATTACCAATGTTGTTGCTATTGTACGAAAATTCTCGTAGAATGTTTTTTTTGGTTTACTGTACAGACGTTATAGCGTGGATTATGATGTGATGTAATGTACATGTAATCCTGTAGCCATGCCTTGACTGTCATCATAGT